AAGTGAAATCCTTTCACACAAGGTCTTTGACGGATAAACAATCGAGGAATGACTTACATACAATGTAAACCTTTTACATATCTACCTATTTGCGATTATATTGTAAATAAGATCAACTTTCTAGCTACCTACTTTTCGACAAATCAGATGTATTACGTTCGTAAAAGTGTAATACACACACACATTACGCTCGAAACAAATAATTGTGATTCAACCTCCAATAAGTAATTTGAAATTCTATAAACAAACGCTATTGTTCATGCTGAATGTTAATTCCACTATTCTTTAAACAAAGAATTTCGAAAATGAAAAAATGTCAGTATGTTGTTAATTACTTAGAATGTGCAATTAAGTCACATCAATGGGATTTTCTATTTAAATGAAAAAACGAACAACCAAAAATATTCCTGCAATGCAGAAAACTGAAAATCTGTAGCGTAGTTAGATTAAAATCCAAAATAAAGCACATTTATAATATGTACTTGAATGAAGCGATTCCGATTGGCTCTTAAAGAAAGTAATTACTAGACGTCATTTTGAACAGGCTGTCAATTAAAGGATAGGTAGGGATTGATATGGAGAAAATTTTAAGGGCATTCGGAATTGAGATACGGAAGCGTTAACCGTACTGGTCCAAATATAGTTTTTTCGGATGATTTGATTTTCAACCACGCAAGTAACCACGTTGGTTGCCGCCATAGAATTTGTTCTAAGGTCTCCAGGGTGATAGTTGCTATTTTTCTGGCATAATACAGCCAATTTTTGCAATTTTAAAAATGTGAATTTTAAAATTTTGAGAAATTTTTGAAATTTGGGAGTTTGGAATTTTTAACATTTTGACAATTTGGGTCTGGAATTTGAGATTATAGATCGATCTTTGACAGTTTGGTGATTTCGTGACTAACATTTCTGATGATTTGGGAATGTTTGATTTTTGAAATTTTGGATTTTGAGATTTTTTAAATTTTGGGAATAGGTGTACAATTCTAGAATTTTTGAAATTTTAGGAATTTGGAAGTCGCAAAATCTCAAATTTTTTAGTTCCCAACCCAAATTTTAGAATTCCTAAAATCTTAAAATTATAAGATTCCCAAAATCTTAAATTCTAAAAATTCGTAAGATTTTGTGATTTCTGAGTTTTGGAATTTTGAGATTTTGCGATTTGTGAAATAATATTTTACTTTATATTCTTGAAATAATATACTTATTATAATCTGAAAGGTTTTAGTAAGCTGAGAAAAAGGATCGGTGCAATCGGCAAAAAAGAATGGAATGATTCTGAAACTGAAGCTGAAGAAGCGGAAGAATTCGAAGAACCCTCTTCAGTAAAAAAAACGTGCACCGAGACTGATGGCATTTGGACCGTATAAAAAAACATAAATCTTCACACAAAATTGCTAGAAAACGAGCGAAGAGAATGTGTTTGCACTGAATTACCTAATAGATTTCAAAATGGGGACACTGAATGTCAAAGTTTTTCGATTGATAGACTTTGAAGCTATAAAAAATATTTAAATTTCGCGGAAATATGTTCCCACCCAATCTTTCAATTGGAGCAAATCCAAGAATTAGTATGTTTAAAAATCTTGCTTTAGTGTTAATTTATGTTGAGAATAAAATAGCGTCGCATGTGTACGACATTTGATCGCATAGTCCCGTAGAGGACTCCCGATGATATTTAATCACCCATGAACACCAGCTTTGGTAATCCCGGAAGGTAGTATTTAATCGGGAAGCCTTGACCAACTCCTCTCGAAATAAAACCACAATCTTTAAATTCGCACCTGTGCTGTGCGTATTTAAATTAAATCTGATCGGCCGGTGACAAGTAGGTTAAATTCATTTTAAGTACACAATGTTGCCGCAGATGTAACTTTAAATGAAAAGTTAATTGGTGGTGAGAATAGAAAAGAAAGTTTACAGTTTGTACAAATTTTCGTTCATACCGACCACAATTCGAATTGCGACCTAGATAATGAAATAGTACATTTTAATGAGATTGAGATTTTTAATAAATTACAGTTTTAAGGTCGCTCGTTTGAATAATTTAATTGGTATCTCCATGGAAACGTAATGGTTTTTTAATTTCCAATCTACCTACAATGACGAACAATGTATAGCCAGAAGCTCAAAACAAGGAAATAACAGAAATCCGGGAAATGCCAAAGTTACGATGAGTGAAAAACAACGACCATTATATCAACAATGTCACAGCACGTTTAGTGTAAAGCAGGACAATGTCATAACACGTAAACAGGACGTTACAACAATTAAATGTGTGTTTTTTTGTTTAAACATTAACACAAACTGGAAAAGACAGACGGTAGCGTGTAATAAGAAGAAAGCTAGACGAGTCACGCGTTGAAAGGTGATGATTGCCAAAATATTTATTTTACAACCAACCACTACATTGATTGAATCGCGCTAATATTAGCAACGGCTGGATTATAACATTCTCAATATTTGCCAAACATTGTAGTGGAGCCGCTTTTAGTTTATCTCCAGAAATAAACATATTTCTAATTAATTTAAAGAATTTTGGAAATGTTTTTCAACATCGAAAAGGGCATACCAAAACCTTATATCCCTCTGTACAAGGTTTTAAGGAAAGTGGTCGAAGCATAAAAAAGTTATGGATGTTTAGCTGTTTGGTAGGGACAGGTGGACTCTAAACACTTATATGCAAGAAGAATCAAGTTCTTAGGAAAATTCTTCGCAGTATTGCATCTTCCCTTTGTAAATACCTTTCATTGACACTGCGTTTTTGAGATATTCACACTTAAGCTTCCACAGCACTAGTAAATATGTCTCGTCCAGATGTTCCCATGGTTTTTTGTAAATATCCTCCTCCGGCACTCCGTTTTGGAGATCTTTGCACTTAACATCACATTGACATCACCATCAGTAGCTATGTCTTCGCATTCGTACTTTGTGAGTAGATACCTCCGTTTTCGGGATATGAGAGATTATAACCAATTTGGACCAGACCGAGGACCAGACGCATTAGTTGATAGAATTAAAACTTTAAATGTGAATATTTCAAGAAAGGAATGTCGGAAGAAGGTACTTGGAAAGAAAAAAAGAGAATGAGATCTAACTGTCGGTGCTGTCAAAACTTGGAACACCTCGAGAGCCGAGTGTGGTAGGAGACAGATGTTTTATTAAGTGAAATTTGACGGTCAAATTTGTCTTAAACATTATGGCGAGTAACGGTGAACTGATTTTATTTTACTTTTAGCGCGTGAGACAAACATTTGTTTGTTTTATATTTTAGTGAAACTCCGATAGACACCGAGGCGCCATGTCAGATTAGTCATCGGTGATAAAGAACGAAAGATGAATGTGACGCAATCTTTCCGGGAAATATGTTATTCTCTCGGTTATTCTAGAATGCTCGAGAATATTAGGCAGCACTCGAGAACAATGGGATTTGCTATATATAAGCAAACCAAATTGCGATTCAGGACAGTTCCAGTTTCAACGCGAAAGTAATAAATATTTTGCGCTGTTATAAGTTGTGTATATGCGGGTGATAAATAATTTCTTAACTTATAAATCAATTTATTATAAATTTATTGTTAATTAATTGTAAATAAAATAAATCATGCAATTAAATTACGTTACAATATGATATACACCTTACTTTGCACCAAAAATACTGTAGTGAATAGTGGCTGAGAATTTCGTGTGAACATTTAAAAGTGACCATAACTTCTAGAATTACGTTCTGAGACGTGTTCACGTAGTACTACTGCACCGATAATGATTGTTATTAATTATTATGATCAAATATATGGTGTAAGTACACATTATAAGATTGATGGCAAGCAATTAAAATTAGCTCTCTTAAGTAATAATTACCCTCGAGTGACTAGTCAGGCATTAGTTTAGGTTTCTCCATTTCTAATGCATTATGTAATTAATAAATTTGCATATTTCAATATAAAAAAGTACTTACATATCTTTGTAATAACGCAATTAATTATGGAATACCTGGAGGTAAAAAGGATTACATTACACATTTTAATTATTTATTAATTTAGATAAGCGCATATCGTGCATACAAACGCTGATTATTATCATCTCAATGAGGAAAAGAGTTCCGTCATTTGTTTATCAAGACAATCACTGTATACAGAGTGTGAAACAACTTTTTTATAGGTAAACAAATTTCATTGGCATGCTTTATTTATATCCTGTTTCACACAGTAACATTGGAAGCATCTGCGCTTCTTGCTCGGTACCACATGGATTAATTACTTTCGTGTATTCGACTTCCACAGACGATCTATTTGATAAGTGATAAAGCATAATGATTGTGAAGCCGTGAAGGATATTTATTTACATAACATTATCGTTAGCAGATTCAATACCTATTGTATTCTGTGCAAAGATCATACTATACAAAAAACAGAAGTTGGAAACTGTTGCTTTCAACAGGATGGTGCACCCGCACATATCGCTCTGATCGTGCGAGCATACCTATCGCACAATCTCCTGGCAAATGGAAAATATGTCCAATAGATCGTACGATTGAGGCGTTGCGCGCGGGTGCACCGTCCTGTTGAAACCAACAGTTTCCAACTTGTGTGCCGTATATCGTTTTATTCGTAATAAAAAATATTGGCCAATACAGTATGTACTTTTTTACGGCCTATTTAAAAAAATCAAGCTGATGATGATCTCTTCGAAACAAAACGTATTGAAAATCTCTCGTAGGGCTCAAATAGTGATAATGAGAAAGTGTTTTTTTGTATCTGTTCAAATAACATCAGAATCGGCCAATATCGGCTTTTCTGGCATAATAATCGGAATTTTCTGGTTTCCTTTACATACTCTTTAATTTTACAACTTTGCCCTAATTTGACCATCTTCGTATCTTCTGTGATTTCCCGGTTTCCGAGATCCCCAAGATAGACATCCTTATCTTGGACACAGTACATACCTACATACCCGAGTACATACCTACATCGTTAAAATCGTATGAATTAAAACACTCCATGACTACCGCTTCAAGTGCGCCAAGTAACGAAAGATGTACCCCGCTATAGTCAAGTAGATACCACCAAGTGTACATTTACTACAAACAAGTGAATATTACTAATGATATTCTGTTTTGTTGCAGGTTTGCGTAGACAGTGCCGAATTAGTAATCCACATTCCAGGGAACTTGGGACAAGACGGAGTCGTTTACCGCTTAGATTATTATCCTCCTCATGGCTATCCCGCACCCAACACAACGATTGCGTCTAAGAATATTAGAGATGTTATCAAATTTTCGCAGGCCTTACCTGGGACCAAATACGACTTTTGGCTGTATTATTCTAATGCAACTCATAATACGCTTACATGGACTGCTAATTTTACAACAGGTAGGTAGCGATATGTAATTGAAATATATTCAATGCTAATTTCCAGGTGGTAACAATGGAAATTAATTTTTACTACTATAATCAATTATAAAGTTACTAAGATTGTAATTAATTCAGTTTGTGGTTTATGTTCTATCCAGTGCTAATGCTAAAAGATCACAACCAGAGTATTTTAGATCGCTTTAAATGCTGCAAACAAAGTGTCAGTTGGTTTGAAAGATCTGAGCAGAGACATAATTTTGATTAACATGTATCTGTATCATTCCAGTGCCTGATCCACCATCGAACCTGTCAGTATCGGTTCGAAGTGGTAAAACCGCAGTTATAACATGGAACCCTCCGCTTCACGGCAGCTTTTCAAGTTTCAAGTTAAAAATAAATCCTCTCACACCATCTCTAGATCCAAAATCGGAGTCTCTAACCATAGAGAATTTGGAAACGTCATCCTACATTTTAAGAGATCGTACACCTGGCGCTACGTATCAGGTGCAGGCGTTCACAGTTTTTGAAGGAAAGGAAAGCGCAGCATATACGTCTAGGAACTTTACCACGAGTACTATATTGCAATTGTTGTATTGCCCACGCTAATATACCTCATTTTCAGAACCCAACACTCCCGGAAAGTTTATTGTTTGGTTCCGAAACGAGACAACTTTATTAGTTTTATGGCAACCTCCATATCCGGCAGCGGTTTATTCACATTACAAAGTATCTATAGAACCTCCTGACGCAATAGATAGCGTGCTGTACGTTGAAAAAGAAGGTGAACCGCCTGGACCGGCGCAGGCGGCTTTTAAAGGTTTGGTTCCGGGGAGAGCGTACAATATATCAGTACAAACAATGTCCGAGGATGAAATATCGACACCGACAACTGCACAGTATAGAACGGTACCATTAAGGCCGCTGAATGTTTCATTCGAAAAAAATTCAGTAACGTCAAATTCGTTTATTGTTCACTGGGAAGCACCTAATGGCAAAAGGTAGAAAATTTTAGTCATAGTTGATTTAGGTACAGGGAAAGAAATTCACTCTTATGTTTCCTTTTTTAGAACAAAATTGCATACAAATTTAATAAAATAAGTTACGCGCATTTCATTGTCAAAATCGTCTTGTTATTTTCGAAAATGCAGTCTTCGCTTGAAAGTGTCGCGCATGCGCAAATCGAATTGAGCCTACAAAAGTTTTTTTTAGTTTCTGTTTATAGAATATTCGAGTGAAGTATTTCTCATACAACGTGTGTGTTTTAACTGAACACTATCTAAAATAGCCCATTTTATTATAAAATTAGTGATAAGGATTTTTATTGTATTTCCTTAATTAGTGGCGATCCTTGCTCTTCTATGACTACTTACTCTGTTACTACCTTTTCAAAAAATTGATTTTTTAAGAGAAGTTAATACATTTTGCGTTTCATTATGTATGAAGCAACTATTCCAACGACCATTTTCCTTGAGGTTAAATGATCTTTGGAGCGCATGGGGGGAAGAGGGGGGAGAGCGAGTTTTTAAATAATGAATTGTTTGGAGTTGAATTTGGGATGAATTTGTAACCTTTTAATTCAATACTAAGGTATGAGTGGGCAGGGGTGTAGAGAATGGAAACTGTCAAATTCTGGAAGAAGTGGATCTTTTCATACCCCAATTTTACACTACTGCATCAATTTTAAATGTAGAAGCGTCCCAACCTGATGTAGGTATCCCAGCTTCACATATGGATTCAAAAGAAAGTGTTGTCATTTGCTCCATAGAACTGACTACCTAATTAATCACCCACGAGACAAATTCTCTACCGGAACTCGAACTGATAAGTGTAATGTTGGCGGAAAAGTTTTGGTAGAGAACAAAATCATCATCATATTTATCTGGTTGCTCGTTATCTGTCTCCTGGTGAACCATTTGGGATCGTATTCTATTGTGTGAGGGTATAAAGGTGCGTTTAGACTTGAGCACATACGAACTGAGCGTGCGCGCACGAGCAATCATCCGCGTTCGGACATGTGCGTTTAGATTTGAGCACGCACGAACTGATCCACTGCGAATGGGCTGATCCGAATTGTTTGCATACAAACATAGCAGGCTTAGTTAGTTACTTTTTTCCCGATGATCTCATAAGATTTTTAACATTTTTTGAACTTCCTAGGTGTCTCATATATTTTGTGCTAAAAGTACATTACTGTATTTACACTTGTCACATTTAAAAATAAAACAATTTAAAAATAACATCAAAGCTTGGAGGATGTTTTACATGCCATAAAACAGAAAGCTTTTGATACTCTTGCAGCAAAATAAGTACCATATCTGATATCATTGCTTTACTTCATGCCGAAACAATAGAAAGTACAACAATGCTCGCTACTATTCCACCAGAGCATTTACTTCTCCTGTAGGTATCCCCACCGAGTCTCCCAGGAAGTGGGCCAAGGCCACTATGGCCCCTTTCTCACCCTGTAACCGTGGTAATTTCTACTGCAACCAGGAGCCTTAACACAAACTATAGTCCAGGCTATGTAATATTTTTTACAGAGAAAATTAGTTACCGGTTCAAACCGGGTTTTTGCATGCTGCTGAAACGATTAGAAATTGGGGAAAAATAATTAAAACAGCTGAATTTTTCCGCGGGTGAAATCACGGGGGTTGAAAGGGGTGGAAACTGGTATTTTGCAATTTGTGGCAAAACTATTAATTTTACGCGAAAATGTTCAATATAAAAGTTGTAGAGAATAAAAAAATGAACAATTTTGTATCTGCACTATTTACACATAACCTCCAATTTTCCTAGAAAAACCGGAAAACCCTTTTTTTAAATTTTTATTCTTATTTTTGCGAAAAAAGGTCGTAGAGGCTTGAAATTTGGAGAACATAGCTTGTTGTGATAAAAAAGGAGACAACATTTTTTTGCCCCTTAAATTGAACAGTTTCCGAGATCTCACGATTTCTGAAAAAAACACCTCTTTTTTAAGGGGATGAAAAATCTATTTTTTCATCGTACAGAGGTGCGCGGGGTAGCAAAATTTTCTGGAAGACTTATATTTTAATAAACAAAAATAAAAAAATATTATTCCTATAGCAAAAATTCGAGAAAATCGCCAAAAACACAGTTTTAAGATATACACGGTTTTTGACGTGATAAATCAACGTTATGGATGTTAAGAAAGATTTTTTCGAAATCTGTCTACTCTTTAATGTTTGCTTAAATATTCTCTTTTGTTATCTTATACTCAACTGCATTTTTCCCAGACCCAGCGTAATCGCATCAGCCGTAAAACAGGCAGGAAGAATAGTTAGTTCAAGAAGCAAAAGAATTCGATTTTACTTCGAATTGCTTTTATTGCGGTAAAAATGCAGAAAAAAGAAATAATAAAGACGTTTCAATTAAGGCAGTCTTAAAACTGTTCCCCCAGTTTTTGCCGCTTTTCTTAAAATTTTTCTATTGGAATAATATTTTTTATTTTTGATTAATAAATGTAATTCCTTACGAAAATTTTGCTACCCCGCGCACCTCTATACGATGAAAAAAATAGATTTTTCATCCCCTTGAAAAAGAGGGGTTTTATTCAGAAATCGTGGGATCTTGGAAACGGTTCAACTTTACGGGCCCAAAAAATTATCTCCTTTTTTGTCATAATACAAGCTATGTTTCCTCCAAATTTCAAACCCCTTTTTCGCAAAAATAAGATTAAAAAACGAAAAAAACAGTTTCCGGTTTTTCTAGGAAAATTGGAGGTTATGTGAAAATAGTGCAGATACAAAAGTGGCTCATTTGTTTAATCTCTATAACTTTTACATTGAACCTTTTCGTCTAAAATTAATAGTTTTACCACAATTTGCAAAACACTACTTTCCACTGTTTTAATTATTTTTTCCCAATGTCTAATCATTTCACCTGCCTGAAAAACCCGGTTTCGCCCAGTAATAAATTTTTTTTGAAAATAAATTATTTTAGAGCTATTTAGCCTGGACTACGTTTGTGTCGTTACAGGTTAACTAATATAATACTTAACTAATAATAACTACAAGTTATAAGTAATCTGCCTGTAACTACAACTACAAGGGCCTACTTAATTCGGTATATGCAAATGAGTTGTGTTATGAAAAAGCAAGCCAGCTTCTTCGAGGGGTTGTTCCGTTTGGCCTTTTTGTTCCTCTTCTGGGATCTGGGATGGTGCATTTAGTTTGCGTTTTCACTTGTGGTAGTGCGTTATATTCTTAATTTTCTATCTGTCTATTCATATTCATGGTGATGATTTTAGATACCAGAATTTTGTGGGTACTAGCATTGCTAATTTTACAACAAAAAAATGCCATAGAAACAATTATTGTGTAATTGATAACATTTTCTTGCGCGTAAGCGAAAACAACAGAAATATTTTACAAACTCGCCTTTTTTTTCAGTGAATTTGACAAATATCAGATTTCGCTGGGATCTGGCCGAAAGCAACCGCCCGTTACAAAATTAAGGGAGGAGCCACAGGTTTGGGAATTTAAGGATAATCTAGAACCGGGAAGAACCTACCAGGTGATTGTCAAAACTGTATCTGGAAAAGTTACATCATGGCCTATGTCCGCGGATGTAACCTTGAGTAAGTAAATCTTGTTCTATGATCATTTTATATTATTTTGTGTGCAGAACCTTTGGCTGTAATCAACTTACGCGCTCATAGCGCCGACCAAGATGGTAACATCAATATTTCATGGTCGGAAAATCCTGACAGTTCGCAGGATGGATACATCATATCTTATCATGAGGTTGAGAGTTCCAATGGCGACAGCAACACAGTTACTACCAATAAAACCAACTTGACGCTCGATACTTTACTTCCCGGTCGAAATTATTCCATTGCTGTTAGAGCAGTTTCAAAAAAGGTTGAATCAAACGAGAGTAGTTTATATGTAATCACCAGACCGAGTGCACCAATAATTGAAGATTCTAGACCTCTCATTGACGGTTTGAATATTAGTTGGAAATCGGACGTCAACTCTAAGCAGGATAAATACGAAATTCATTTGGTCAGAAATGACACATTGGAAAAAATTGTTAAAACGACCTACGATTCACGGATTATTCTCACCAACCTGTATCCCGGGGCTGGATACACCGTTCGACTGTATGCCATATCTCACGTGCTGAAAAGTGAGCCTCACGAGTACTTCCAGCCTGTCTGTAAGTTTATAACGTAATTGTTTTCCGTGTTTCTAGCATTTGCGTTTTAGTTCCTAGACCTCCACGTAACATGATAATCGAGAAAACGACCACCAACTCTGTCATAGTTCAGTGGGTTGCGCCGAGCGATTCTTTAATTACAGAATACGCAATTAGATATCGCACGGACACAGACCGAACCTGGGTTCGTCTGCCGGCAGTCCAGAATACGGAAGCGGAAGTAACAGATATGACGCCAGGAGAAAGGTACACAATACAGGTCAATACGGTCAGTTATGGTTTGGAAAGTAACGAGCCACAGCAGTTAAATCATACTGTTCGTAAGTATTACAATTTTCTTAGTTGTGCTCAGATAAAGCGCCAATTTTAAACATACCATAAAGATCAAAATCAATACATTACCTGAATTATACGCTTAAATCAATAAATATTGTCAGATGCAGGTAATACATCGTCAGGTTTATTTATGATGCAAACTTTATAAGTTACAATTTAAAAAACATAAATAATTCAATGTAAATTTCGAATTGTAACTGAAAAATCTCTCATAAATTTAATACACAATTTAAACGAATATTCTATTGATAAATTGAATTATAATTTACTCCAAACTGCAACGATATAAAAACAATTGTACAGAGAAAAGCAAACGCAATTCAGTTTATTTAATATACGAAGAATGCAAGACCAACCTTATCTCAGCTGGTGTAACTGTGACGTCATAGGACAATGCAGAAAAATGACCTTGGTTTCCAACATAATTATGGCAATGTAGAAACGACGACAAAGGCAAGATTATGACGAGAAAGGCCTCTTTCTAATCTTGCATCCTTTTCATAGTAATCTTCAATTTCAATCGTATTAACAACAAAAGCTTTCCATGTATTGGCGGTCCTCTTCGTACGTGTTGTTGAAAATTATTTCTCATTTGTTGATGTGTATGGAAAAGCACTCTTGGAACAATACTTAATACTTTTTCCACTAACTAATTAGACGCCACATAAAAATATACGTCAAGCTCGCCCTGCATGCTTCAATGAATGCGAATAAAGCGCGCGCACGCTCCCATTTGCCTGCGAAACCGATAATCCCGACAATTTAAATTACAAATGGAAAATGTAGCTGTATTCAGTAGAACGTTTGATATTGCAAATTTCTATATACAAAGTAATTCAAAAATATATATTCAAGGTTGTTACTTGCATTAAACAATATGCTCTACTCCTGTATCACCTTTTTTTAAACTTACACTATTGGGGGTGGGAAATGCTTGCAATGAGTGCACCATTTATTACTAGAATGCGAGCAAACTAGAATTATGAAATCTGGCTCTGACCCGAACAAAAAACTTTTTTGTCAGTCTGGCCCCTCCAGTATCCAGAAATCTGTTGCTTCTTCAGCCCAGTCAGAACTCAATTAATCTCGATTTGTATTGCTATGTGCCCCACGTTGGGCACCAAGTAAAAATGCTATGTGCAATGGAAAACAGTCACTAAACCACCCACAAGCCCCTACCCAGCTAGCTCAATTTAAACTCTTGTATTAACAAAACCTTTAAAGGAAATAATTATAATATTTCTAGGGCATGCCGCATGCCCCGCCTCTCCCTTGACGAAAATCCGATATTGACGTAAACGTTACAAATTTGAAAAATTCATCAGCCTGAATCGCCTCCACAAAATTCTAAAGAATTAAGAAATTTTTAATTTGCACCTGTTATAATTCTGGGTACAAAATAAAAAAGTTTAACACGTTAATTTAAATCATAGTGTTGGGCTCGATTAATCACAGATGAAACAATGAATTTGACATAAAATAATCAGACTGAAAGAAAAACAGACACTCAGAACCAGAATATCACATACCACGCAAACAAGCGATCGATAGATTAACGCAAATCTTAATTACGTAAGGGTCAATAATCCAAAATCTTCGGTCGTAACTGCGATTTTCAAACAAACAGACACAAAATTATGATTCCTTGGGACTTCACTTCTTCGACTACAGTGAAACTTCCATTTAAACGCAACCGACTTCGTTATAATTACCATTATACTATTGACCCTTTGATAGTGGATCTATCTAGTATCTAGTTAATATCTACAATTAAAGCAGATTTAGGTGATCAGAAACCTAAATTTATAATTAGAATGTCATTTGATTGCAATGAATTGGACTAATTGGGTTTATTTTAGGCCCTAATCCGGTATCAAATATCGCACCACTTGTTGATTCGAACAATGTCACACTGGAATGGCCACGTCCCGAAGGACGTGTCGAAACTTACATTGTAAGATGGTGGGAGGGCGGCAATTCTAGTCAAATTAATAAGCGCAACGTAAGCCAAAATCAAAGTGGCACCGGACCTGTTCGATTGTTGGTCGGCGATCTTATGCCAGGTCTAGAATATATCTTTGACATACAAGCGGTCTCGAATGGTCTTCAAAGTGATGTTACAGTTCTAAGAACTCGAACAAGTAAGTGTGACTGTTGAAGAAGACGTATTCATTCTGTTTTTTAGTGCCATTAATACAGTCTGAAGTTGTGGTGGTTAATAACCAGCAATCCACCGACTCTATAAGCCTTAGATATACACCTACTCCGCAGGTGACTTCCAAATTTGATTTGTACAGATTTTCGTTAACGGAACCAAGTATACCAAACCAAGAAAAAGCGGCTAACGATTCTGATAGATTGGTCACTTTCAAGGGTCTTATTCCAGGTCGTCTCTATAATATTACAGTGTGGACTGTTTCGAACAATGTTGCCAGTCAACCACTACAGCGCCAAGATCGACTATGTATGACTAACCGGTCATCTTCTCGACTTATGGTATATTTCTGCTTACAGATCCTGAACCGATTACCAGAATTAACGCTACAAACATTAGGGACACAGAAATTACGTTAATATGGGATTCTCCACGTGGCGAGTACAATGCGTTTGAAGTGCAGTACTTAACATCCGAAAATTTCCTTATACAAAATTTAACACTGCACAACTCCGTAACAATCCACGATCTAAAACCTCACCGCAATTATACATTTACTGTTGTTGTTAGAAGCGGTACTGAATCAAGCATCTTACGAAGATCTCTTCCGGTGTCTGCTATTTTTACGACTAAAGAATCCATACCGGGGAAAGTCGAGAAGTTTGAGCCCATTGACATACAACCGAGTGATATAACATTTGAATGGTCTCTTCCAAGTGCAGAACAAAACGGTATCATCAGAAAGTTTACCATCACTTACGGTTTAGAGGTAAGCTTTTAGTGGCACAAAAACTACCTAGACTTAAATTTGAGACATCTAAAAACTATCCATTTGCTAGGTGTAAATGATTAATACTATGTTGTTTAGATGAAACATATTTGATGTTTGACAACCAAAGTTTTCTGCGTAACAACTAAATTTAGAGCATCCTAAGAAAACCATCTGACCAAATCGTATCAAATTTAACTGACATTGTAACTGTAAAAGACTGCAAACCGCAATGCTATCTAGCTTGTGACGTACCCAGGCCAGCCCCGAGAGACCGCGCAACTCGCGATTTAAATTCAAAACTTTCCCTCCTAAACCAACTGAACCCATCATGGCACATGATCGTCTAGACAAAGCTACCTAACCTGGCTAGCAAAAGACTAGGACCACTTACTATGTTGTGTTTTTAGAGTAGGTACAAGATATGTGTTGCTTGTCAGAGTGAGGATCAAGTAAGGAATACAAATAAAACTAGTACATGCGTTAAAAACAGAGATTTAATCAAAATAATTCGCATTGCAAGATTAAATTTAGAAAATGGTAGTTCACTGAGTACAAATATAATATAACAATAGGCTGGGGAAAAAAGAACTGAGCAAGAAAAAACCAGCTAACAAATAATAATAATAATAATAATATTGAACTTGATAGCATTAGTTGTCTGTAATGACATGAATGCATATTATGATGGTTGTCAAGTAAATTATATACTGTCGAATCATAGACTCCATTGGAATTCCTAAAGAATTAATATTTAAAACATAGCATTAAAACATTGCAATAAATTCACATAATAAATCCCACACGGAGTAGTTGGCCTCTCAGAAGAGCCAGAAAGGATACCTCAATGAATACAAAACAACAAAGGGCCCAACGAGAACACGCCGTACGCTTTTAGCAGATCCCTGCGCAAGTGAGGCCGGGACTTGCCTGCGCCCTTATGTACAACTAAGCGGGCCCCAACTCTTTCATTCACACATGTCTAGGGCCAGTTCAACAAACTAGTTATAAAGTGCAGGGTTATAAAAAACTGAACGCTAGGCTCTCCCCCATGAGTACTGACAGTAACCGATCAAAAGACAAATCATGACATAACAAAAATAACAGAGCAAACTAGCATGCATACATAATCATAAACAAAATATATAGCATTTATGTAGGCTTCGACAGTTGACATATTTGCCTTGGCGTAACAAAGATTGACACAAACTCTATATTCGGTTGACTACATGTCAAAGGTCGACTAAACGAATTGATTAGCAATATCGGCAAGAGGGCTCTTTTCTAAGACACAAAAAAGCAGTACAAAACATACAGGGTGTTTCCAAATTCGCGCACACGGACTGTGGGATGGTGTTATACAACGAAAACTGAATAAAAAGTTCCTCTACCAGTTTTTGATTAGACCGGCATTTTTTTTTCGACGTGCTGAAGCTTGTTTACTAGCCGACGGCGGAGATTTTGAACAACTGTTGTAATTACGTACTCGTCATAATTATAGTTTATTTTGAACCTTCTTTTGTTTTTAAAAATGTGTTATTATTAAGTTTAACCAGTGGCGCAGCGTAGGGGGGGCGGATATTTTTTAAACCGCGGTAGCTCGAAAAATAGCGGTCTGATGGAAAACTGGTAGAGGAACTTTTTATTCAGATTTTGTCGTATAACACCATCCCATAGTCCGTGTGCGCGAATTTCGAAGCACCCTGTATATCTTTGCGTATGTCAGTTGTGAAATTTAGCCACCCTCTGCTACGTCAAAGCGAGATTGTATATCGGTATCAAATATAGCACAATACATATTTGAAACAAGTCATCCAGCCAAATATTAATAATCATAATTACCCGGTTCAAATACATAGAAGGAGCATAATGTTAAGTATCACATTACAACAAAACAAAGAAACATGTTGTGGCAAAATATTAATATAAAGTAATTAATTCTCAATGCCAAGTGCAATATGAAACAATCAACGACCTAACGTACGTCATCGCTCCCAGAGGAAGCACCCTGTAAGTAAACAGTAAAATATTCATGCAAAAGAAAAGAAGTGTGCTGCAAAAAAATCAATTACAAATTAACAATGTGGTGTCGATGTTTGCAAATACAGCATCATCCATGAATCGCTATAATATTTATTAGATTGTTTAATTCTGCATACTCTCATGGATCATCGTCTCTAAGAGAACATACTGTACCTAAATATAAATAACAGCACCTAAATCTGTCAGGAATTCATACTGCGGGTTGGCAGGTAAAACCAGCCCTAGGAATAAAGGGATACTGTAAATTGAAAAACAACATTTGCGCAGAAAACATAATGGAATCTTGCATTTAATTCAAAGTATGATCAACATAATTATTTAAGAGCAATTTGTATTTGTAATGCGCTATAAATGACAATGCCCATGCTGTATTGGAATGTCGTTAATTTGGCAAATAATCTAACACGATCATATAATTACTAGATGGATGCGATAAATGTAAAGATAAAGAATACAGCACCAGAGTAATTACAATCGAAACATCCACAGTAACGTAACACTATGTTTGGCACTTTTATTGTAAATTATGGCCCATTTGAATGTAGGGCGGAGAAGAAAAAAACACGTGTTCCACGGAAACGAAACAAAGCGCAATCTTGAATGGGACGGATTCGGGAATCGAATTTTAGCGGGCAAATGTGGTTCCATTACAATCTATAAGTAGGATAGTAAGAAACAATGGAAGGAAAGTGGAGAAGAAATTATTAAAATGGTATGGATATGGTCCTAATAGGAAAATAAGGGAATACTTGCAGGCTAAATCATTAGAAAAGAAAATGTTGGGAATCCCAAGAAAAAAGTTAATAACATAATCACACAATAGTACACTAAAACAAAAAATAGCTATTAACTGGAAAAATAGGTAATAGGTTATAGGTCAATTAAAAATTGATTTACAACAGAGTAGCAGAATTACAGGAAGATAGTAGTGGCTCTTTAACTTTTCGTTTTTGAAATAGGAACACAAATCTGTGTTAGACAACGTTACATTAACATCGAAAATGTGATATGATCTGATCAGGTGGTTATCTTCGGGCTAGTCTTTCAAAAAAATGTTGTCCCAATGAAACATAGAATTGATCATTCAAATCTTTGGTACTTGAATGAGACTACACACTTGTTTGCAACGTCAGAATGTTGGCACACCTTTTTTGCAGGGTTCAACTCATACGTTACATAGCGATTTTGCCTCGCACGAATTTAGGGGAGTTATAAAGCAGCTGATTCCCGGTCGTACTTACATGTTCAGAATACAGGCAGAGACGCGAGTCGGCTTTGGCCAAGAAAGCGTATGGAAACAGAAAATGCCTATCTTGCCTCCGCCTGTGCCCGGAACGCAGGTGTTAGCGACGGAAGTTTGCAAAAGTTCAACTACTATACAAATTAGATTTAGGAAGAACTACTTCAGTGAAGCAAATGGACCGGTAAGTTTCTCATTTCTTTTTGTCATTGATCTTCTTCTAGCTTCACTTCTTTTTTTAAATTTGTACTGTGCAAGTGCGTTGTTCTACTCGAACTTTTCCAATCAACCCCATTCCAATCATTACTTTTAAATGCAGGTGTAATTCAAATTGTCAATGTATAGTTTGTAGTTAAAAATTGGAGAAAATATTGATTAGGTTTTATCTCTACTATTAACCCTAGTTACAATGTTTTCAATATATTTAGTTCGTTATTTTTGAGTTCGATGACGATTAAGGTGCGCATGCGCAGGCCGGACAATATCATCTTTCTTATGTATTTCAATATTTTGTAAACATTTTAACCACAGATGTTTCTAATAAAGTTTCAAACATATCGCATATAGTAAGTATTAGTTGTGCGCATGCGCAGACTGCACAATGCCAACTTTCCTATTTATGGAGATATTTTTTGAAATTTTTAAAGATGCTTCTTGTAAGGTTAAACATCAGTTGTGCGCATGCGCAGACTGCGCAATGTTAACTTTTTTGTTTATAGATATTTTTTGGAATTTTAACCACTGATGTTTCTAGTAAACGCAAATATATCACATATTGTAAAAATCAGATGTGCGCATGCGCATTGCCATCTTTATATATATTTCGTTTAAACGTTAACCAGAGACTTCCCTTTTGGGAAGTACTGGTCAATTCATGGAAAATGTGCCTTAGCGCGAAAGTATTTTTGCTTGTTCATTCCTCTCAATGTTTTTGGAGATGCAGTGACCAAAAATGCGCTTGGAAATTCCTTTCCCATTGATAATTATTTGTTAATCCACTGTTTATCAATCCATCCTAAGGTGTACTTTAACGAGTACGCTAAACCTGAGATTTTGCCTTTCAGGTGGTATCATATGCGATTATTGTGGCGGAAGACGACTCCAAAAATTCATCCGGTCTCGAAATGCCATCGTGGCGCGACGTTCAAGCTTATTCAGTGTGGCCACCGTACCAAGTAACCGAACCGTATTATCCATTCCAAAACAGCACCATTGAAGATTTTACTGTTGGAAGCGAAGTGTGCGATGTACGCCAGCCCGGCTATTGCAACGGCCCTCTTAAATCAGGCGCTACATATGTTGTCAAAATTAGAGCGTTTACCGCGCCGGATAAATTTACAGACACATATTACAGTTTCCCAATTCAAACCGGTATGTTATACTTGTTTATTATACGTTATTTGATTAATAAGTTTTATGCTGGCTACCTATTTAGGATTACTGAAAGTGCGTAAGTAGACCTTCACCTAATTCCAAAATTGATTACTGTGATGAAAATAGTTTTCTCAGTAATCAATATATTGATTACCACAAAAGGAATTTTGTTTTCTTTTTTTTTAGATCAAGACAACACGCCAATCATTCTGGGAATAATAATACCAATAGTGCTGATAGTTTTCTCATTTATCGTAATGATATTTATAAGACGTAGGCGAGCGGCCGGCAGGAAGGCGACCGAATCTCGCACAAATGATAATATGTCGTTGCCCGATTCTGTTATAGAAACAAACCGTCCTATACGAATAGAGAACTTCTCAAATCACTATCGAATTATGTCTGCCGATTCTGACTTTAGGTACCTTGACAATTTGAAGAGCCTTCGGTTTTAACGCTATTGTTGTAGGTTCAGTGAGGAATTTGAGGAATTAAAGCATGTGGGACGAGATCAACCTTGCACGTTTGCAGATTTACCTTGCAATAGACCAAAGAATCGATTTACCAACATTTTACCATACGATCACTCGAGGTTTAAATTACAACCGGTCGATGATGAAGAAGGTTCCGATTATATAAATGCAAATTATGTTCCTGTAAGTTTTCAATTCTTGTTATTTACATCCACTACTGGTAGAGTTTGTAGGGGCATAATTCGCCGAGAGAGTTCATAGTAACACAGGGACCTTTGCATTCTACAAGAGACGATTTCTGGCGTATGTGTTGGGAATCAAATTCACGTGCAATTATTATGTTAACACGGTGTGTTGAGAAGGGACGAGAAAAGTGTGATCATTATTGGCCATATGACACAATGCCTGTGTATTATGGTGACATATCTGTACAAATTTTAAATGAATCCAGATATCCAGATTGGAATATATCTGAATTTATGGTGTGTCGGGTGAGTATACTTCTCTTTTACTTTTACCATGCAAATAACTAGTAGTTCGACATAACGCCACAAGGTGGTGCCAGTTCTGTTGAATGCGCGCACAACCCCCGTATACTACAGAAGTAGTATATTTCGTATATAGAATTGATGTGAGGGCTAAGGCCTCAATATTTTGTGACTTACTGCTTTAGAACAACGACTTTGAGGTCCTCTTCCATTATATTGTTAGAGATTAGCTTGTCCTTACCGAAGACGCTGTGAAAGCCGCATGACGGTCACAGAAGACCGTCATATATAGCATCCTCAGCTACACTGACCTTGTGTAAATGATATTTGAGAGGAAGAAGACCTGTAAGGGTCCAAACATCTATCTTGTTGAGGGCTGTAGGTAGATATAGGGAGTCATATTCTCATCACTTTCAGAACTAACGAAGTTAATGATTGAGGTGGCTGACATAGTATCATTTTGTTCCAGGGTGATATACAACGTGTAATACGACACTTCCATTTCACAACATGGCCCGATTTCGGGGTGCCAAGTCCACCACACACCTTAGTTAGATTTGTAAGGGCATTTAGGGAAAGAATTGGCGCTGACCAACGTCCGATTGTGGTTCATTGCAGGTAACTTCGTAGTTACTTGTCCATTTTTAATCCACTTTTATTTTAGTGCGGGTGTCGGAAGATCGGGAACGTTTATTTGTTTAGATCGTATTATACAACAAATACAAATTGCAGATTATGTTGATATATTTAGTATAGTTTATCAAATGAGAAAGGAGCGTGTATGGATGGTACAAACAGAGCAACAGTATATATGCATACATCAATGCTTATTAGCTGTCCTTGAAGGAAAGGAAGTCGGCGGTCAACCGCGCGAAATTCACGAGAATCAAGGATTTGAAGGTAATGGATTGTGGTGCGATTGGTACGTTTCCTGTTTGTCTGCAGAATGTGTTTTTTGTTGCTAAATTTTTTAATATTGAAATCGTCTAGAAAACATCATCACATCCTGCATTCAGTAGGAAGTAATACTTTCTTTGTAAATAAATGTATGTGATGATACGAATATAGAAATGGTTATCCAGATCGTTTGGCATTGTATAAAATTTTTACACTGTGGTTCAGGAAAAGGTGTCGGAAACGGTGGACTAAACCCCGCGATAGGTTCAGGGGAAAAGGAAAGATAGTCAGTGTACTGGATAACAACACACCTTATCACTTTTGATGGTAACTGCTTTATATCTTAGCACGCTTTCGTATTAATTTGTTTATAATTTGTTTGCATGCTGAAATGTAATTAATGCTTCTGTATCAAATAAGCTGCTACATTTGGTAATTTATTACTTAGCTACATTTAACATTTTGAAAATTTTTGCTTGCCGCATGGTGTAAAATTGGACGATAATACGGGAATTCTTAATTTTTAAAAGTATGGTTCAAGATAGGATGTATCTTTACAGGGCATTATTAGCGATTTGCGTTTTCTACATTATTATTTCAACAATGTAGAGGTCCCTTTACGACATTTACTCATGGACAGAACACAAACGGATGGTAGGTAATTGCAGGATATTATCTAGAGATTGAAGGATAGATTGGTACACTTGAAAACAAGAGATGAAGAATGGCATACGATTTTCAGGAAATTTTTTGATCACATCTTATCCATAAAATTATTAATAGAACAATAGTAAAAATAACGAGAAGCGGAAGCGTCACGTTGAGACCGTTTTTTCCCTTTGTGAGTACCTTGTTTGGATACTCTGCTCTTCAAAATTTGTCCTACCTCTGTTACTATAGTGATCCGAGTCGAATGTGGTACGGTTTATATGCGTCTTAGGGAGACTTATTACTTTCCACTTGAGAGTGCTGACTTCTGACATTTCGTTCTAGAGATATTCCCATTTGAAGTGTTGTAATGTCTAGTCATTCTCCTTTTGGAGTATCCTCTTTCGACACTTCGTTTGTAAAATACACACATTTGAAGTTTTAACCCTTAACAAATTTTAAATGGAACCCCCTGTATATTCTAATATATTTCAATAGAACATAACATTTTGGATAGAATGACGCCTCATACGTCAACTTTTCACATTTTTAAAATATTTAAATTTATAGATACCATATTTCGTCGAGATAGCTTTGTATCTCTGTTTAGACCCCATTTAAGTAAGTAGGTTATACAAGGGCGAACCTGGCTCAGTTCAAAGTTGCTCGTCTTGGAAAGTAGGTCAAGGTGGTGCTCACGGTCAGTCGCAGTTTCAAGGTCGTTTGACATTTGGCGGTTACCTTGGAAAGCAGGTCAAGGTGAAACAGAGGGCAGTTTGATCAATTCCCCTCTAGGGCGCCACGTGGACGGCGACGCGTGTGTATGTACCTACTCCCCGCATTGGGACATCGAATAATGTTAATCATGTCATAGATAGCGGATAGCTGTGCTTGATGCAATTCTGTAGAGCTTTCAATTGTAAAGCGAATAAATGCATGCTGTAAGGCTCATTTCATGGTTTCTCCAATTATTAAAAAAACTTGTAGGTAACACATTCCTTTTTGCTATGCTTTAGTCAAGTAACAAAATTTGTATGCTTTTCAAATTCTGTAAGAAAACTGGATATTTTTCTTTATAATTGAGTTGGATCAATCTATAGACTGTGAGTGATTATTTCCTCTAATTTGAAAATTGTTGTGAGTAGTAAGATGTGTTGCCTATAATTTCAATATTGGTTGGAGAAAAATACCGACTTCCCATAATCAAATGCTGATTTGTATTTTTCTTTTTTTAGATGACGAGGGAATAGCAGAATCGGGCATGTAATCTGTGAACTGAAGAAGCTGATTTCTGAGTAACAAGGCAAAAACAATTTATACATCATATGTACAATTAGATTGTTTACGTAGTGATTTTGATACTCCGTATATGAACCCAATAGAATTTTTGATTTTGGAAGTAACTTGTAACGTATTTGGATTTGCCGACAACCTCACTCAGATTTTGTAAGGAAATGTATTAGTTACAGAAGCAAGCGATTTGAAATCTGTATTTATTGTCTATTTTGAATTCAGTTATCGGTGAAAGAGTAATGGTTAATTGTAGAACGTTTATCCAAACTGATTTCAATTTTAGTGATCGAAAGTAATTATTTTTTATAAGTTACAGTATTTTGTTTATACTCATTTTTTAATATAAAAGTTATTATTAGACATATCTAAATAAAATTGCATACTGATTTATTTTAAATTTTCGGCCCTCCCCCAATGGATGTAGCAGGTGCTGTTGAAATAGGACAGTGTAAAAGCAATGTTTTTTGCTGCAATAATAAATATTAATCATTCAAAGGTTTTTTTTTATTTTGTTCCAATGCCAAGTTAGTTTTTGTATTTTCTGTATAGTGTACTCTAGATACTCACTATAGTATGACAATATGTAGGAAGATTTATTGTTAAAATGAAAAGTATGTTAAACATTTTACGTAATGCTACCCTACTCTGGGATTGCTAGAGGTTGTTCAATGTGTACACTCTGACACCAGAAAATATCTTCATGCCTAACAGGTAAAAATGAGATGCTGGATGTTTACCTTTTGTTGAATTACTGTTGAAGGAGAATGGGAACTTTTTTTAAAATTTGAATGGTAGTTACCCCTATTAGTAGCAAAATAATCGGGGCAAATAAAGTCTTATGAATCACAGTCTGCATATTTTTTTAATATACTGATAATTACAGGAAGTTTTGTAAAATCAAAGCCAACTGAAAATTATAAATTACAGGTCCTCAGTGGCAAAAGAATGTTTCCATTCCAACGTTTACATATTTTAAAAATTGAGAACTTGAATGAGGCATGAATTCTCAAGCATTCTGTATATCAACTTTTGAACAATTGTTATAGGTAGGTAGGTACCTATGTTATTTAAGGCATGTGCTTGTTCCATAAATCCTACAAATAATACGCCGGCATTGTGATTATTATTTCTAAGAACCAAAATATAAAACAAGTTAAAGGGGCGACAAAAAATGATAATAACTGCACGCAAGAAATATAAAATTGCACAACAAAGTGGTTCAAAAAATAAAAAGATTCATAGAAATAAATCAAGAGAGAGAGAGACTTCACAAACAAATGATTCATAAGGTCAAAATTGTAAACAATTCTCGCATACACTTTCTTTAGTCAGAAACGCCCTTGAAATTGTTAATCTGAGAGGAGCGGTCGTTTTTTTGCGTAAAGTAAAAGGTTCAATTCAAAGCGGCTGTACTCCCACTGATCTGGTATTCCCATATAGTCTAGTACCTTTTCATGCAATGTCGAAGGCTGTATCTCAAAAACTACTTATCGTATCGATATCAATTTGATGTTGCTGTTTAGGAAATTTAATGTAGATTAACTTCTTATTAGACAATTTGGCCCTATCTGTAACCGTTTCCCTGTAAAATGGTAAAAACCACGGCGAGGGACACTTCAGTGAGGAGAAGGGGGGAGGGGAGGGGTTGGCAACCGGCATTTTTGGATTCAGCAGGGTCGAATTAGTAAAAAAAACACCAGTTACCAAAAAGTAATACGATTTGCTTCTAGCACTTCATTATTTCCAATTCAGGTCTTGTCTAATAACGGGCGATCAAAAATGAGTTGCTGTCGAGTCGCCTTTGGAAGTTCAATTTAAGTACGATTTCCCATGCAAACAAAAATTCCAAAGGTGACTCGACAGCAACTCATTTTTGATCGCATAGTATATACAAAAGGGTACTCCCTGTGAATTGAAGTCAGCCATGACAGTTGCCAGAGAACATTCCTCGACTCATGCGCCGCCCATGACGGCTTTTGGTACTACGCGACAGTCGACGCGTAACGGCCTCACTTCTTAATTACTATGCGATCAAAATTGATTTGCTGTCGAGTCACCCTTGGAATTTTTGTTTACGTGGGAAATCATATACCTATTATATATTTATTATTACATATCGGACAAATTTCCTGGAAAATATAAAAATTTGTCCGATAAGTATTCTAGCACGATTAGGGTATTGTGCGCGGGTGCACCATCCTGTTGAAACCAATAGTTTCCAACTTTGTATTTTTTGTGTGCCTTACATCGTAGTATTGGTAATAAAAACGCTACTCAATACAGTATGCACTTTTTTACGGGCCATATAAAAAAATAAAGTTGATGATGATTTCTCCAAAACGAAACGTTGTATTGAACATCTCTTAACGCTATCTTGTATACTTAGCTCAAAGAGCGGCAACAAGATTTTTTTATTTTTTGTATGTATTCAAATAACACCAGAAAAAAAATAAAAGCCAGACCGGCAAATTTCGGTTTCTCTAGCATTTCTTCCAAAGTAATCGGAATTTTCTCGTTTTCTTCACAGTATGATAATAATAACATAGAAGAGAAGTTATATTTTTATGTGCACTAAAAGGATAGTGTGTAGAACCAGTAAACAAAAATTCAACATTGAAACAAAAATATTCGTTGTTGGTAGGTACTACCATTGAATTTATAGTTATAAATTCAATGGTACTACCACACACAACAACGAATTTTACATGGAAATTATAATCCTCCGAAAAAAAAAGTGCCTATAGAAGGTGCTAACAGGAACCGTCCGTTTCCAACCGTTTAAGCTATGGCAAATGAAAACAAAATTTGACATATTAAGTTTTACCGTGATATTTGTTATTTTCAAAAGTAATTTTCTCAGTCACAAAAAGGGTCAATTTACACTATCTCCTATCGTTATGGAGATCCCAGTGGTGAGCCACGAATAACCACCCTGTATAGTGTACAGGAGAGTAGCAATAACAGTTAAGTTCTTGGAGCCTATTTCAAACACTGGGACCTGTTCTACTATGGGATTTGACCTCTGATTCTGCCAATGTGAGTTAACCCCTGAATTCCCAAGTTCAAATTGGACTTGGCTAATGCGTATACCCTTAGACTATGAAAAAATTCCTTCTCTAAGCGTATACCAAGCTAAATTGAATTCATCTCTGAAATTACTGGAGATCTACCTATTGAAGTCCTTGAATATCTATTTAAATCATTTAAAATCATCTCCAACTGGTTTTGCTCTCTGTTATGGCGGAAGGGTAACCTAGCTGTATCTGTATGGTCCATGATCTTCATATAATTTAGCTTGGTATTTAGATGGGTTAGGCCAAAGATCATAATACAGTCACTGAATATGTTATTTATGCTGCAGTTTGGTATGATCTTTGGTTATACCTGGAAGTTATGTAAATGTAAGGCTCTAAGAGCCTTAGTAAATGTATGGGAATGGAATGGGTCGCATCTCAGATTAACAATTAAGGTAGCATTCGCATAGCAGTTTTCGCAGAACTATAGACAAAAAAGCAATGGATTAGTAACATAAAAAAACCCAAAAATCTATAGTTTTTATTTAATGTAACACACAATATATTATATAATCATAAATTATAAAAACATTAAAAACTACTACATGCAAACTTAATTACAAACTAATTTCTTATTACAGTCTTATTTTTCTTTGACATTAATTTAACTTCTTTGACTTTAGACGCAAACCTCAATGCGTTAACAGACTCACCGTAACACTCCTGAAAAGGCGCAATGTTGACAAACATTAAAGTTTTCGAATTACCACCCAAACTGCTTTGTAGCAAGTAGGTCAATTTCGAATTACGATAAGGAACGTGATTCTCCTTGTTCTGCAGCGCCGACATAACCGACCCTAAAGCGGTCAAACTCTTATTTATATTTTTCGTTTCGGTGATACGCTCCGAGGTTTTGGCACTTTCGGAACCGGCCAAATCGACCAAACTCAACGAGCCGTTGTGTACTGTATTGAGATGAACGCCTGTTAGACTAATTTTGGTGACGACGTGCGATCTTGAACTGTGTTCGTTGTAATTTGTAGATGCTACCGCACGATTTTGGATGGCACGTGATATGAGAGTGTGCAATTCCTGAGGCGAATGTACGGGATTAATCGTCAAATTTCTTACCTGTAAGAATTAATATTTAGGCTTGACCAGTGATCATATAATTTAACAAAACTTGATGGCGACTTCACTATTATGTATTTTGAATATCAATGGTACATTATCGCTATGTCTATTTAATTTGAAGGTTTAATAAATTTCAATCATAGATATAGCCCCCTTCAAAATTGTCACATATTCGCAAATTCAAAAAGAGATGCTTATAATGGGCAAACAAATTATAAACGATCTCGAGAATTGTTAATAATCACTAATTAGGTTGTTAACAATTACAATAAAATATGTTACACATTACCGTTATGCCTTTCCCCTCGTTGAAGCAAATGTCCAAATGCTCTTTACTCTGAAGTTTCAGTAAATCTCGAATACTTTCATTGTAAATTTCCAAAAAACTGGCTTCAACAGTGTAACGCCAGCCGATTTTCTCATACTTTGCAATCAAGTTGAATATAAAGTCGACAGTCTGAGGAATCATACCTGGAGAAGAGCCATCACCGCCCTGCATCGTGTAAGTTTTACCCGAGCCAGTCTGACCATATGCAAAAACGCAGACGTGATAACCGTCCATCGCGCTTTGGATTAGTTGTGATAACTCGTGAAAGACATCAACTTGGGATGCCTCCGGTTGAAAAACTTTATCAAATACGAACTGCAAACAAGCGTCGTTTATCCTTGAGCCATTAAGCTCGTTGGTTTTTTTGATTTCCAGCATGTCTTCGTCGATAAACCCGATGTTGCATAATTGTTTACTGTCTTCAGAGAAAAGCGCAGGCCGAACACGGCAGAATACACGTATCGTACCTTTCAGATCTTGGATTTGATTATGCATAATACGCCGAACATGTTCATGTTCTTGTATTCTACCCTCATAAAGCTCCAGCAGTTGTTGTTGCGCATAATTAGTGTCCTGCAACTTTAATAAATCTTGACGAAGGAGAGACTGTGTGTTCTCCAATTCTCTTATTCTTGCCTCATTTACTGCGCCAGCTTGAATTGCCCGATTCAAATCATCTTCGAGATTCGCCGACTTTTTCTTTAACAGTGCAAATTCATTTAGTGCATCTCCAAGTTGGTCAGTAGTGGAACTTAAAGCAGCATCTTTGTCAAGCAAAGTTTGTTGTAATATTTTATGTTTTTCCAAGAGTGCATTGAAACGTGCCTTGTAATCATAAGGTGGAATTTTTGCAACTTTGGTATTGGTAGGTGCCTGCGCAGGAGGATCTACGGCTACTCTTTTACTTCCAAGCTTCACGGATGGAACCGTCTTCAAATTTGGTTTGGCAAAAGCTGGCCTCTTGTTGATTGTGGTTAAGTTAATTGTTGATTGTGCATTTAAACGAGACACTGGTGTTGCACCAAAATTAAGATCGGAGCATGAATTCGAGCGTCGTACAATTCTCCTGGCGGGTGGGTGAACGATGTTGTTGTTTGAACGAGTAACTGATACGCTGTGAGGTACACGAGGATTAAGAGGTTGTTTTCTAGAAGAAAGAGGAATTCGTGTTCTATCCATCATCTAAATCCGTAAGTCTATAAACAAAACAAGTACATTAAATGTACAAAATACGTAGGAGTTAATTACATACATGTAATAGGCAAGTAAATCCCTTTTGCAAGCCAATCAAGTAAATAATTTACCTATTCATTTTGCATGCCCCCTTTAATGTTTCAATAAAAAAAAGTTCGTTACATTTTAAATTTAAGCGTCGTTAAAAGGAAGTCTCTCAAGTATCGTCCACGAGATTGTACAACAATGGGTGCGTTCAGCAGAACAAACCGCGTTTGCGCTTTGATCCAGTGTTGTTACCTAATATGAGGGAAATTTCCCTTTTCGAGGGAAATTCCGCGGCAATTTTAGATGGTGTGGGAAAGTGTAGGGAAATGCGAATTTCTACGATTTTTGGGGGAAATTGACGAATTTCGACAATTTTCAAGGAAAATTTGAAATCCATGATCCAGTTTACTTATTTTTTGCATTGGCAATTGGCATCGGGAGTTAATGTCGAATTTAGCAGCAGGAGCCAGAACCAGACCACATCCACGCGCCTGCCGCTGTGTCTCATATACCTACATAAACTTTTTGATAAAGCAATATTCAAAAACCAATGCAAAGAAAATTGAAAAGGAGTAATAACGAAGAGATAATTTTATTTTTGTTATAGCGCATATCTTTTATTTTATTATACATATATTTTATATTATTATTTTTGTAACAAGAAAGAAATACATTAATTTTATTTTTCCATTTCCTGTTCGAGTATATAATTATATATAGATGGCACCATTGTTGCATTGCACTGTCTGTGCGGTGAAAGGATGAGAGAAATTACGGAACCGACGAGAGAATTTACACCGGAGTGAAAGGGAAAAAGAGGGAAATATGGAAACCTGGCAAGGGAAACGCCATAGAAAATATTAACAACACTGCTTTGACCTAGGTAAAATAAACATGACCACGTGATCACGTCTATTGCATTCTCTTATGAGATGGAGTGTTTGGAGTTAACTCCTTTTACTCTCTCTTGTAATAAAAAACGATACGGTGTAAACATTTTGTTGTGTTGATCCTCTTGAGTAAAAAATAAAAGGAGAGAACCTTGCATTAAAAGGGGTCGACACGGTAATGGACATGGCTATTTCCCACCACCATATATTCTCTCCTCATATTTCACTCGTAGTTGATCAAAACATCCAGAAGTATTATGTGAAGTTAGCGTCAGAGTCATATGGAAATAAAAATAAATTACCAGTAAAAATAGTATATTATATACCGCGGGACTGAAGTAGTACTTTTAATCCCGAAGGTAAAGTTTATGGCCCGACCGAAGGGAGGGCCATAATTTACCTGAGGGATTAAGACCACTCCTTCAGTCGCAAGGTATATACGATATTTTTCGTACTTCCGAAACCGAAACACTTAATATGTATGAAGTTAGAGAACGCGTTCTTTCAAAAAATCGCTGCTTAACAAGTTACCATAGGAACGTTGCGTTGGTATGACAATCCCTATGCCATGGTAACAAAATAATTTGGAAACTGTCATTGCTAGTGTCATAATTTTGGTGGTGGGTGACAAAGGTGTATTTGATATTGATAAAAAGCAGCCAAAGTAGGTATAGAATTGATACCACCGAAATCCAAAAAACTATATGAGCAGCAGTACGATGCGTTTAAGAAGTAGTGCCACATACAAAATGTGGAACAACCTACTGAAATTGCCTTGTTAGTAATTTCATCCTTCCGGGATTTTCGTCTAAATTTAATCCCGGCGGGACAAAAAGTGACACTTCAGTACTTGTCATAATGGAGTGAAGTTGTTACTTTAGTCCCGGAAGTACGAAAACATATATAAAAAAATAAGAGCTCGCCCCACATTTATTTATAACATTTTTGTTAGGTATGGATGAAGATAAAACACTACTCATGAAAATCGAACCAAAACAAGAAGAAGAAATCCATTCCTTCCTTCAGGGACACATTTCAGTAAGCAATGAAGTTGTGGTGAAAATAAAGGACGAAATTACCATTAGTACACCATCTTCTAAATCTTGCAATGAAGAAGTACGGCAAAACTCTGACTTTCAACGTCACTTTTTAACCCTGTGTAAAACAGTGTCTAACGATTTTAAATGTACTAATTGTGATTATCGGACAAATGTTAAAAGCAACTCAAACAACATCTTTTAATACCTAAAGTTTCTGAGGATTTTAAATGTGCTGCTTGTGATTATGGGACTAATATTAAATACCTCTTTAAACGATATCTTTTAAAACATAAAGTTTCTAAGGATTTTAAATGTGCCGATTGTGATTACGGGACAAATGTTAAAAGCAGATTCCAACAACATCTTTTAATACATAGAGTTTCTAAAGATTTTAAATGTGGTAATTGTGATTCTCATTTTGCCTTTTCCTATTTTTTTTAACAACGTTATTGTTTATTTAAACCCAGACTTATATTAATTTTATTCCTGAAAGTGAAAGCTGAAGAGATTACCTATTAATAGCGATAAAGGACTGGTTGCTCTTATCTAAAATGCTAAATCCCTCACGGTTTTCTTTGCAGTTACTTATCAGTTATCATCCTTGGGATTGTCTCCACACACCTGTCCATACGAACATCAAGTACCTACCTTTAATAATTTTTACATACCTACCTACATGAAGATATGTACTTAGGTAAATTAAACTTCCTAGAAAGACCATGTAAACAAGCATAACGCATAACCGTAAATTGATCAAACATTACACCAAAATATAAACTGTAAATGACTAAGTAATAAGAGGATGCATTTCCGTGTTGACGCCAGCAATACCTTTAACGGTTTAAGATAAATTATAATTTATATTATAGCAGACCTATCGTGGTGAACCTCATATAATATGGCGCATAAGCTTGGTTTTGGAGGATGTGCCACCTCACCTCGCACAAGTATGCCATTGTGCCTGCTCATCTTAAGCTTAAATTTCCAACTCTGTAAATACATTGTTTTTATTATTTCTTGTATTTGTTATAGTTATTTTTCTTCTGCTATTCAGGATACACACAAATTAGTCAGGAATCTGAGTACCTATCTAAAAGATGCTTCTAAAATATTGCAGACAAAAATAATTTGTAAAAAATTTTGCACTTCTCAAGACTGTGATAGCAAGTACAAAATGTAAATCTTAATTCGGACACTTTCGGGTACGGTTAAGGCTGCATTCAGGCACGGCTATAATCTAATAAAATTTAGTTGGGAATTTCGACCTCCAGATTCCCAATTAAATCCAACAAATTAAACATCATGAAAATCTATCCTAATGTATTAGAATACAAGAGACCTCAGACTTACTACTTATGAGCAACTGTTATGGATTTTTGGAAATACACATCAGCAATAATTTTACAAGCACTGGAACCAAGGTCAAATTTTAAGCAAAATGTCTATTGCACTTTTAAACTGCTGAAATAGAAAATTACACTTTTATTTTGAAATAATTACAAACACCTTAAAAATTAATTCGATTTACACCAACAACATTAAGATCCAAACACACATTTCGCTAGTCTACTTTTGATTGTACAAATTAGAGATGGAATAAAACTATAATCTACAATAGTCTTGGAACACAGTTTACTATAAATTAAGATTATTATAAGTATCACACATCTACCGATTTGGTTATGGATTAAACTTGTACGAAATATCGCTCTTTCCTAAACAGTTTACTTTTACTTAAAAATATTAAACAGTCCCGTATTCACTGGAATTAGCCGACGAACTATTACTCGTCCGTCGCAAGGGGGGAGGAGGCGGGGCCGGTCTCAGTCTCAGCGGCGAGGGCGAGAAGAATTCGTCCGCGTCACCGTCATCACAGGACGATGGTGAGGGAGAAGGCGATGGCGGCGATAAGGCTCTGTCATCTTGGTCTTGCAGCATTTGTCGAAAGTCCTGAATCGACTCGTTCAACGACCACAGTTGAGATAGCAGGGACAGATCAAGTTGCCGCAAGCTGTACTGTAACAGAAAAAAGAATGTTAGGTAATAATAATTGACAAAATGTTATGGAAAATGTTTCCATGTTTGGCAAATAAATAATTAAGATGGCGTTCATAAGCAAGCTTTTACATCTAGCATGTTTTGGAAAAGTTGATAACCCATTCACATTCTCCGAAAAAAAGTGCCAACGAGAACCTTCAATTCCGACCGTTTAAGCTAGGGAAAATGGAATCGATATCTTAATTATTATCAAAAAAATATTTAAAAAATTTAAAATGCGTTTTTTTCGAGGTTTTTCAGACAAAAAGATAGATATCTTAAACATACGAAGCAACTAAAAATGAAAAATTCAAACAATTTTAAAGCATTTGAAGAATTTCCAGAACTGGAAGAATTTAAAGAAAAAAGTTAAGAACTTGGAACAGTCCGAAAAATTCAATTAATCAGAAGAGTCTAAGGAACCAGAAACTCGGCAAATCGCCAGCACCCAAAGCATTTAAAAAATCGGAAGCACTCTGAAGATTTCGTTATGAACTGAAGAACAAAAAATTAAAGGAACCGAAGGTGGGAACAATTGTGGAATTTAGAGAATTCAAAGGATCGGTAACTTTCAAAGAATTGGAAAAATCTAGATTCGGAAGAATCCAAAAAATGAGAAACATCTGTGATCTGAAGGGTCCGGAATCTAACAAAAAAATGGAAGTAGCCGCTAGAGTTTGCAAAATGGATCTGAAGAGTAGAAAAGCGTTGAAGAATCGGAATAATTTAAAGTGCGACGAACCTAAAAAACTAAAGGATCAGTAAGAATCCAATCAATGTTAAAAACGAGGTTAAAAATATAAAGAATTAGAGAAATAGAAATAGCTGAAGATATACAAAGAATCAATGTATTCCGTAGAATCAAAAAGCTTTAAAGAATGTAAAGAATTGACCGAATCAAAAGAAGTTGGAGAATTAAAAGAAACTAAAACCTTTAAAAATCATACCATTTTGAACCACATGAAGTATTTTAAGGAAATTTGAAATCTGAAGAATTTGTATAATTTAAAAAAATGTGTAAATTTCGAAGACATGCAATGGATCTAACAAATCTAAAGAACCGAAGCGTTCTAGAAGACGGATTGAAGGACATTGAAGAGATGGAAATAGCTACCCTCGGAAGTACCTATTTGAAATATCAAAAAAATCGTACCTTATGAGAAATAAAAAAGAATGAAAGAATTCGAAGAAACGGAAATTGGAGAATTATAAAATATCCCAAGGATCTTGAAGGATATCAAAAATGTAAAAAGTTTAACCCCAAGAAAGAATTTGAAACCTGAAGAAGGACCAGAAGAATTGTAGACAATTAATAATCTCAAGGAACTGAAAACTAGGAATTTTTTGAAGAAATGAAAGAGTCCAAAAGCTAAATAAAATGGGAATTGACGAAGGTCACGAATCTCAAGGATCCAAGTAGCTGAGAAACAGAAGAACCCAATGAAAATGGTAAATGAGAAAAAATGAAAGGGTTTAAAAATTTTTGAAAAGCCTCAGGAATGTAAAATTTGACGAACATAAAAGAAACTGAAGTATTAAAAAGATCCGAACAATTTAACGAATCCGAAAAAAAGCTGAAGAATCAGAAGAAACTAAAATCTTCGAGAAATACAAAAAATCTCACCATTGTGATGAAGATTTCAAGTAAATCTTAATTTATAGACCTTGTAGAGTATAGCGGAAGAACCCCAAAAAACGAAGTATTTAAGGAGAAGAAGTACTAGAATAGAAATTTAAAAAAATTTCAAGAACATAAAAATTCTCAAAAGTCCGGAGAATATGAAGAATCCAAAAAATTGCAAAAAATCTGAAAACGAAAAATCAAGCAGTCCTCAGAATCTTAAAAAGTGAAAAAAATCTCAAATCGCATTCAAAAAATCCGTAGAAATGGAATAATGGAAAAAAATTAAGAATTTTACGAAAGGAACGGCAAAAATGGATTAATGGGGAAAATCGGAAAATTACAAAGAATTGCAAAAATCTGAGAAATGCGAAGCATATGAAGAATCCAAACTAGGTATCTTAAAAGTCTGATATACTCAAAGAATTTGAAGAACCTGAACAATCAGAAAAATTAAAACATTAGATACATTTCAGGCATCTGACGAAGTCGAAGAATATAAGAAATATGAAAAAACGACGATCAGCAAAAATCTGATAGACCGACGATTTCTTCGGCCTACCGATTTTTGTTTCTTAATAAATCAAGTCAAGCCGCAAGAAAACACTTCCACGGAAAGGTAAAAAATTAGACAGCTTTCATATCGAGATTACAAGCAAGTTCGTTTTTAAATTACACACGATACAGTAAAACAGAAAGAAGAAACTGAGCGTGAGCATGCCAGCTGCAGTCGCAAGAGTGTGCTCTACTTGTGAAATTTAAAAGTACGAGTATAAAATTTTGTATAATATGCACATTGCACAATGCTGTTGTGGTGAGAATCTACTTGTCAAAATAGTGTTCTTTGTATAGAAATGCCAATTTATTAGTTAATAAAAGGCCAAACTTAAGGTTTCGATGGCCAAGAACTAAAAATTAATGCTGCACTTTCTTAGTCATCATTTGGACGATTGGCAGGTAGGTCAAAAATTTCCTTGAAGAATACCAATACCCTGAAAATTCTTAGTAAGAATCCCACGTTGGAATATACACAAAAATTAATGGGCATTTTGAATTTTATAAAAAGCTCAAGATCTTAAATGAGTGTGGTTATTAGCTCATAAAAAGTTTAAAATACAATAGTTAACCTTGGCAATAATAATAAAACAATAATTTAAAAACAAAATGCGTCACATACCTACTAAATTATTAAAATAAACAATGAAATATCATTAGCAACATTTTTCTGCGATTAAAGTGAGGAGCAGTTTTTCGCGAATAATAAATTTGAACTTTTCCAAATGCAGGTCATTTATTTACTTCTAATCGAGGAGAATTGTCGAGGTTACAACAGTTCACGATGTAGGAGCGTAAAGTAACAGTATCACAGGTAGGAGGACATGTTTGAGGTTTCCAGGGCAACATTAATACACGCCACTCGAAAAACAAAATTAAACCAATAAGTATTACATTACTGGCTTTAATTGATACGATCGAAAATTTATAAGACTATAAAAAACCACAAATTGTCGGTAGATATGCAAAATTATTTTCAGTCGGTATTAAGTTAAAAACGTACCCACGCATCTTATCTCGTGAATACTGATTTTTGGTAATGCCTGGCAGAGTGTTTTATTGCTCTTCCGAACATTTTTTACAGTTCCGATTCATCTCTGCTCTGCAAGGTGGTTTAAATTTCTAATTTATTGCAACATTACTAAAAGGTGCAGTACCATTTACATAATGTGTACTCCATAAAACAATTTAAATAACATACGGCATTGTGCTATCGGAAAATACTGCAGATCATTAGCATAAATTTATTTTGAATCAAATACTACTAACAAGAGTGCATGCAGATTTTGGCTAGAAACGAGCAACCCACAAAACAATATAAATCCCCGCAACGATTTTACTCCTACCCAACAAAATTACAAAATAAATATCGATTATTGCCACGTTAATCGATATTTATTTTGTAATTGTTATTGTTATATAATGCCACATAATCCCATAATGCATTTAATTAGCCATAATGCACGCATCATACTACGGTGGCACCTCGAGCAACAATATCTAATCCCAGTAAACAACTGAAAATCACTCATCGCACTCATGTGGTCACATTACACGATTGTACCTCGTGCTGTATGCATCTTTAAACTTTGCTAAAATGTTTGTCATCAGGTCCTTTTACTCCTATAATGTAAGAGTATAAAAAGTACCATTTTTGACGTGTCCGTACCATCGAAATCGCGCCTCACGCATCTTCACATCAATTGGCGACACCTCTGGACTTTCATTCGCCGATCACACAAAACGCTTGTGACAGCGCCACTTCGCCCATGCCGCGTTGACGCTGGCTCGAACGTCAGGGATCTCGCTGTCACTGCTGATAGTGGAGCCGAGGTATTTCAATTTGTTGACCTTCTTCATGGTGATAGTTCCATTGGTCTGCGGCCTGCACTGCATATATTCGGTCTTTGCCGTGTCAATAAATGAGTTGTTTAGTTATCTATTCATTTATTGTCACAAATATGCTGCATCCTTGTCTAGTTTGTTAACGATGGGACACCCTGTATGTGCATTTCAATTTTTTAATTGGTTGGTTGTAATTTGAGATTGGGATTAAGTGTCATTCGAGGACAATGTTGATGTTGTATTAGTTGTTAATTTTGTTTGAATAATCACCTATTTATTTGTTCAATTTTATTACGTGTTGGAAGGCCTATTCAGTTAGGAATTATTCGCGTAGTTTTTTTCCGGTTAACGGAACCTAATAATTGGGCAGCCCAAGAATTCCGGATAGCTCAAGAAGATCACCGCAATTGACTCATAAGGGTAAACTGGAAAATGGAAGACAGAAGGCCAACCTGGGAAAAGGTACCTCGATACGATTCAGTTTTAAAGGCGTATTGGGTTCAGTGAGACACGTTAAGGCTACTATATAAGGTGTTTCAATAACAATGTGGCTAGTGATCTCGGAATCCTGGTTAAGGTGCGGGAAGAAGATGTGAAGGATTGGTGCAGAAAATGTAAAGTTTGTGCCACAAGCAACGGACCAATTGGAAACAAGAAAACACAAATGGGGCAATATAATGTGGGTGTTTGAAACAAGTATAAATTGTGCACAGCTCTTGTGCAGATAAAGCGCATTTTTTAAAACCGAAATAGCTTTTGTTTTGACATCACCAATAGATATATTTCTTGCAGACGCCTCAATCGCCCTTTGTGAGTACCCTCTTCCGACAATCCGTTCATGAGGTATAAGGGAATATACCCGATCACGATAAGAGGTCGAGGAGGGCTATGGTTGGTAGAAATTAATTCCTTTCGTTGAGACCTTTCATTAGAGTACCATGAAGGATAAAACTAGTTCCACCCCCCCCTCGCCCTCCACCCCGTATTTTGATGAGGATAGAAAGAAGGGCAGTAGTTGGTAGAAAACGGTTCCTTTCGTTGAGACCTTTAATTAGCACAATGAGAGATAGAATTAATTTTTATGAATGGTAGAACATCCCCCTCCTCCATTTTCTAAAGTTTAACTTGGCACCACTAAATCATGCGTATGCAAAATCTGAGACCAATTGGTTGTCGTATGTAAAAGCTATGCACGTTTTACTTTCAAAAACAGCATCTTAGGAAATAATTTGTGGGAGAGCCCCCCTTTTAGACAGCGAAATTTGATGGCCGTCTGGCACACCTTCAAGGTATAGGCTAATTACTGCAACAAATTCCAGGACTCTAGGACCATACCTCATTCCGGTAGAAACGCAAACAATAGCACATTTTCTTTAATTCTTAAAAAATGCGCTAAAAATAGCTATTGATATCGCATGCCCCTTCCCAGAGACAGATTCTGGAAACAAATACGAGGGGTCGTTTTGATATTCAAGCACTAGGCATGAAAGGAAACGACTAGAGCAACAATAAAATGTTTTTTTCAATATAGTTCCCTGCTTTTGAATTCAGGTATAACAATAAATCAATTACATGTTTAATCCAGTATAACAATATTCATTTGGTTTTTCCGCAAAATGGCGCTCAACAGCTGCTATAAGTTCGTCATTGTCTCTAAATTTCCCTTTTTCGCATTTTTTTATTATTTTTTGGGTGGCGCCCGAAGCACGTGCTTAGTCTGCTTATGCATTAATCCGGCCCTGCAAAGAGCTTTAAATGATAGGTGAGTATACAGTAGATTTGTTGTATTGTAATAATTGAGCTCTAACGAACTATCAGTCCCCAATTAATTATACAGGGTGGGCCATTAGTGTGTGGGTGGAAGATTGTGGGTTTATTAACGCGCATACTTAAAATTCATTGTGGGGTAATGTTGAAGGACTCTTCAGGCTACAACCTAAAAATATTTTCAACGAAATTGCAATGCTATACAGGGTGATTTATATCAAAGTTGCATTTTTTTAATGGAACCCTCTGTATATTATTACATATTTGGATTCCTTGGTCAATTATGGTGTGACTTTATGTATTACACATGTGACATGATATCTCAAATGAGTCGTTTAGCCGCAATTCGTCGTTTTTTCAAAAAATAGATGTCCAGTAAAAATTGAATATCGCAGTTATCATTAAACTTAGAAGGCCGTGACTTTGCAATGGCATCAATCATGAAATGTACTAACATACGCCGAACGGCTAAAGTGAAACTTCCTCCGTCAATTTTCAAAATTTCAATCAAAGGTAACTTGATTTTTTTAAATGAAACTACCAAGTTTTTTGATCGCATCGAATGTAGGATTTTATTACCTTTTGAATAAAATAAGCATGTCGATATTAATCTTTTACATATTTTTTGTAATTCAACAATTTCTAATAATTCACAGTGTTTTTCGATTTCCAAAGCCTATCAGTAATTAATAGGCCGTTAAAAATTATAAACAATTGAATTAATAACAAATTTACTCCAAATAAAATAAAACAAAAACTTAAACAAATCAAAATAAAAAGGTTAAATAAATATAAGAGAAAAATAATTATTTAAATAAATGTTGAAGATCACACCTCCCAGGAAATTGTTGATTCAGCCATTCTTTAACGTTTATAGGAAAATGAGGTAGGACACCATCGTGCTGAAACCACATTTCTTGTACGATGTGCACCAGAACATTTTGAAGAAGAGCAAAAACAAGAGTACTTAAAAATTTAAAGTAAAGAGAACCGTTTAAAATATGTTAGGTATTCAAATTCCATTTTTCTAACACAACAATCAACAACAGAATTGTAAATGCTAATAAACTAAACTGACAGGTTTATTTCATTTTATTTTGTGTTAATATTTTCTAATATGGCTTTCGTGGCTTACTATTCAAATTGATTTATTTATAAGTTCATGCAAATTCATTATTTTATCTTTTAAAATGGGCTACGACAAACAAGAGTTTTTGTTTTGTTTTGTTGGGGGTCAGTTGGTCTTCTTAATTTTTAACGGCCTACTGATTACTGAGAGGCTTTAAAAATCGCAAAAACACTCAATTATTAGAAATTGTTGAATTACAAAAAATAGGTAAGAGATACATACCGACATGCTTATATTGTTAGAAAGGTAATAAAATGTTACTTCTCATGCAATAAAAAAACTTCGTAGTTCTATTTAAAAAAATCAAGTTACCTCTGATTGAAATTTTGAAAATTGACGGAGTGATTTATTTTAACACAAAAAAAAGTTTTAACTTTAGCTGTTCAGCGTATGTTAGTACATTTCATGATTGGTGCCATTGCAAAGTCACGGCCTTCTAAGTTTTATGATAACTGCGATATTCAATTTTTACTGGACTTCTACTTTTGGAAAAAACGACGAATTGCGGCTAAACTACTCATTTTAGATATCATGAATACATAAAGTCACACTAAAATTGACCAAGGAATCGAAATATGTAATAATATACAGGGAGTTGCATTTAAAAAATGCAACTTTGATATAAATCTCCCTGTACAACAATTGCAATTTTGGTGAAAATATTTTTAGGTTGTAGCCTTAAGGGTTCAACATTCCCCCACAATGAATTTTAAATATGCGCGTTAATAAACCCACAATGGTCCACCCACACACTAATGGCCCACCCTGTATACTTCCTTCGGTAAAAAATACCGGTTCTTAGAACTCAATTTAGTTCCATTTAAATAATAGCCCTGGCACTCTGTCGGAGGAATGGGTAGAAGGGAGTAAATACCAAAAAGGGTACATTTGCAAGAAAATAAACCTGGGTGGAAACTTTTCCATGCGCCACTCTGTAGAAAGAGGTCATTGTACGGCTAAAGTAGACGACGTGTTGGTGTACTTACTTATTAAACATATTTACTTAGGTACCTACTTAGAGATAAAGAATTACAAAATAAATCATTGACATTTCAGAAAAAAATCGATCACTATCGAAGAAGTAATTCCGCAGGGTATAATTATAATAGTGCTCTGACCTATAACACCTTCTCAAGAACAAAGCCCACAGTGCAGAAACTAGAATGTTTAAAGAGCTTAATGGCATTTTTAACATTAGGTCGCATAAAATCCACGAAGATTTCTTATGTAACACAACCAGTTTAAGAACAACTGACCTACAGCCTCCGGGCCAGAATTTTATTGAGAATGGTTACATCCTTGCGCTTGGGAATAAAAGTAATAAAAGATTGGCAATTCCCAAAACAAACTGGCATCTCTTTAGGTAACGTAGATAGACGACGATAACATTAAATCTGTGGTTCTCGCGAAATAAACTTCCGATAAAAACAATTTTTTTGTACAAGTCGGCAAGAACAATGAAGAGTTCTTATCGCAATTTGCAATAAAGCGGAACGTGTTGTGTGAACGCCAACGAGTCGATATTTTAACCTTTCCACTATATTTACTATTACCGCAATCATCCCAGACAAATTTCGAAAAAAAATGAATGAATACATATTTTCCTGTCCATATCATGTTTTTGAATATTTGATACATGCGTCTAGCACACCATGAGCCTTCCCTTCACGCATTCATGAGTAAAAGTAAACAATTTACCATTCACAGATCGATGCACTTAATGCTTCTGCGGTATTTATACAAATGAATGCAAAATGTTTCAAAAATGGATAATAACATTTTTATTTGACTTTAAAATTCGGAACGCTGTAAATTGGTAACTGATTGGTATCAATCGTATCAGTGTGAATTCAGTAACGTATCAGTTTTCACAAACTCATAAAAGGACCCGATTACTATTGTAAACAAAATTTGTAGGAACTAGATGCAGTTTTTTCAATTCAAGAGGATTGTTCAATTCGCCCATTGTTATAATCAAATTTCGTTGCTCTCAAGTAGTTGTCATATAAATACTTCCTGTGAATTTAAATGAAGAGAAGCATACTAGGGGAATACACAATAAGATGGAGAATAATGCACATTATCAAAAAGTATTTTGTAAATCGTGTAACACTAACAGCAATTTTAGGAATGGTCCAAACCTGTAGGAGAAACTAGTGTTTCTATCACCTGCAGTTATTGTAATGCATTGATATTCCTACCATAATTACAGGAAGCCTAAATTGGTAGACATCCTGTTTTAATCAAGATATAAATCTGAATAAACTACGAAACGTATAGGCTAAAGTTCGTGCCTTTACCGGTCGTTTGAGTATTGTAAGGTAATTTTACGAACCGGCCTGTACAAAACGTACAACAGCTCTCTTTCCTTGTCTAAGTACAACAAGATGACGTGATTTAAGTGCAAAATACAATCCTGGTTGAATCGCTGACATTCAATCTGTGTTTTTCTATTGCCTTTACATAGGAATACTGCACAAGAGTCTACAGAATCTAATGAGTAAAGTTAAAAGTGCATTTTACTGTATTACAAATGAAATTGCTAAACAACTGCAGTG